CGCACGCGACGCCATACCACCGCGGCGAATTACGATTCTTTTGTCACACACCCTGAAACTCAAGAGCGGGCTGCAGTTACATATAGTTGAGTATCGTCCCTACTCGTCCTATACCGGGAGTTGTTTCGATATGACAGTGAAATCGGGAGTAGTTCACCTAATTGTATGCAGTGACTAGGGCTGTGAGGTGAGAGCGACAAATTACAGGGGCCACTGAGGCCGAGCCTGGCTCGCAGCAGTAGAGCCAGCCGCTTCGATCCTACTTGTGTTTTGTCGAGGTTTCTGATTCGAGCTGAGATGAATTGTAAACTTGTAAGGTAAGCGGTTATGTTGAGCCAAGCTCTTACAATGTGATACTACGAAATTTAATTGCAAAATCAATTTAATTGGTCCAATCGCAGAAGCCACATGTGTTGTGACAGTAGAGAGACGCCGCGGAAACCTGCTCTGCTTCTATGCTCTGACACCAACCAGCCTTCTTGATCACTTCGCACAGGTACTGATCAGCACGGTCCACACATCCCTGAAAAGTGGTCTCATCGCGGTGGCTCTATTGTAGCTTCACAAATGAAGACTCAGTAACAATCACCTTGTAACCTTCAGTGATAGCGTTGAGAAGCATCAGTGCGAGGAACACGTAGAAGAGCATTGTTTGAAAGGTTGTGCTCAGAATGGAAAGTACACTTCAACCGGCGCTTTTATTCTGCACTGAACGTAAGTTTAGAGACTTCCGCCATCTGGTGATTCTGCTCACGGCCATATTAGCTTCATTGTTGTACCATACATCTATCGATCGGGCTGCCCTTTATGTGGTTTTTGAGATTGTTCACCATGCCTATCCGAAACTTCTCAAACGTATAATTGTGTGGTAGACATTAAAATCACCACTCGCGCATTTCATTGTTCTATATCGCTTAGTAAAGCAATCCTTCGCCTTTAGACTATCATTAAACGGTGCCGGCTCATTATGCTAGTAATCCAATTTGAACTGATGCTAACTGTTGCTATTGTTTAAAGGCAAGTTGCCACGATGTTTTCCTACTTAGCCTAAAATGCTAGTAGGGCGCTGTATAGTGGGGAAATGGCGAAAGAACGGAGTGAAACGGTCAAAATCCTGCGAAGAAAAAGCCTCCGTTCTCAGTGACTTGTAAATCGATTTCGGACGAGTTTAGGCATCTTACCAATCACCGCTACCGAAGATACGGCTGCATATGTGTACCCATGTATGCATGCAGCATCACGGCCGCTTCATACCAATCCCTTCTTCATAATTTGCTTAGCAATGAATGGATTAGAGCGCCAGGAAACGAGTCGTTCTATTTGTGGGCGGGCGGGGGCGTTTGGGACAGTGTGAAGTTGCGGCTCGATAGGGCTTTTATAAGGGGCACCTTCCTCGGGGAAACCGCTATGCACGCGCCTACCCAGGATCACGGAATTCTATCCTTTTAGGAGTATTATTGATTATCGTTTATTTTATTTGTTTATCGATCTTAGTCGTCTTGGGGGATTTATCGTGCCAACTGCCTTTAAAGGCAGCGCCCGCGTTCATTTGATGTTCCTACGCCCTCCCTAGATATCGTGGCTATGTCGACAAGGGTGGAGAATTTGCTAATTTCGCAGCTCCAAAATGCGAGAGGATGGCGCCATCCGCTTGTGAAGAGAATTCCGCCACGCCCACCTGACTGTCATAACTGCTTTGGCTTAGCGTTGAAAGGCTGAGCCTGCTTTCAAGAATAATGAGTTACGGAGCTCATATAATACGTGATCCAGTAGTGAAGAAAAAAGCACAAAAGAAATCATGGAAAATGCCCTGTATAGAACCCTATGCTGGCCAGGTGGGCGGGGCGGCCGACTCTTCACTAGCGAACGGCGCTATCCTCTCGCCTTTTTGAGATGCAAAACTAGTACATACTGCATCCTCATAGGGAGGGCTATGATATCCAGAGAGGGCGCGGGAACATCAAATGAACCTGGGAGCTGCCTTCAATATAGGAGCACAACGAGGAGCTGTCTCGAGACTTTCTTATGGTTCTGATACCTCTTGATATAAATAGTTCCGCTTGCGTTACACACAGAACCTTGTTGTACCCGGAAGGTCGTTCGAGATTTGGATTCAATGAATCAGACTCGTAATGGATGCCAAATTACCACGTTGACGACGATTTCAGTCAATGGTGGGCGACAGCCAGTCTCTAGTGGGACGATGTCAGACAATGATATCTGACGGTGTACTGTTCTAATAATAAAGATATGCAAACAACCAATGTCGTTAAAAAAGTGTTCCTATGGGACAAGGAAGCGGAAGAGTTGCTCAATAAAAACATGAGAATTACTCTTACCGCCTGGAGACCCAATTTTCTGATGGATCGTTATCTGATGGACACGAAGAAAGAAAAGGTTGAAAAATGATAAATCAATTACGATTTTACATTCTGTCGAGTCCTGCGTCTTGTGAGAAGCAGCATTGCGTTAACAGTATCAGCTCATTGAGATTCGCTTCTTAAATTTCCACTAAAATTTTGACCTATCGCCCTCCCCCCATTTTTTCACTTCACTGCCAGCCGTCTGCCGTGACAGCCGCCTATTTTTCATTTGCTAGAGAACGTAGATAATTGCTGAGAGGTTGAACAATTAGGGCAAACAAGCCCAAGCCCACAGCAAGTCTTGTCAACCATATATAGCTGTGTAGGACTTTATCAAAATCAGAGATAAATAACCTTGGTGGGGGCATTTAAGGGCTCCTCGCCTGAAACTAATCACCATATAAAGATGAGGATTACGTTCGAGCTTACGAGGAGAGAGAGCGCCGGGGTGAGTGAACCAGTCCCCACCAGGTGTTCTATTCTTCGGGTCAGGTAATCCGAGTTCTGTAGAAGAAATTCTTTAAATGTCCCCACTAAGGTTATTATGGTCTCGAGGGATTCCCCAGGTCAAGTTGATGTGCTGCGTGACGGCAGGGCGTAGCGTGAGCCCTCTCGCGGCAGCGTGAGCCCTACCAGTAGACATCAACCCGAGTGGAAAATATTTTCAGAAAACGCAACCACGGTTGGGCTCCACACTTTCTGACACCACCCCGTCATTTCGCAGCCTTACCAAAAGTCCCTTCAGGGGCGTGGGTTCGAATCTCATCACTCACCACAGTCGTCGGCGAAGGTGCGTTTCGTGATGGGAATGCCACTTCCTATCCTTTTCCTATGCCTGTG